CTGTATTTTGTAAGAAAAGGTTTTCTTAAAGGTACAAGTACAAGGAAACTCAAAAACTAAGAGATTCCCACTGGCTAGAGGTGTATCAGTTTGAGCTTCAGAAAAGATTTTTTTTCAATATATTTTATTCAGTCAAATATATGTAATCATCCATTTATCATGATAATTTTTATAATAATTTAAAGATATTTATATACTATAAAATTTACTCCTTTAAAGTATACAGTTATATGCACAGAGTTGTGCACCTACCACCACTAACTAATTTCAGAAGGTTTTCCTCATCCCAAAAGGAAATCAGATATCCGTTAGCCATTGATACCCATTTCTCCCTCTTGAGTGAAATTGCTGAGTCTTAAGGTACTTCCTGTAACCTTTTGAGGAATCATCAAACTGTTTTCCAGAGAGAATGTACCATTTTACATTCCCATCAGTAATGTATGAGGGTTCTTATTTTTTCACATCCTTGCCAACATCTAACAGTCTTTTTTTCTATGGTCCTGTATGGTCCTCATGTTGGATGTTAAGTAGTATCTCATTATGGGTTTGATTTGCATTTGTGTATTGACTAATGATGTTAAACATCTTTGCATGCGTTTATTGGCCATTTGTCTATCTTCTTTGGGAAAATGTTGAAATCTTTTGGACATTTTTAAATTGGCTTGTCTTCTTGTTGAGCTATTCTGGACACTAGACTGTTATCAAATATATTATTTGTAAATTTTTTCTCATTCTTTAGGTTGTCTTTTCTTTTCTTTTTATTTTATTTCTTTTTTTTTGTTATTTTGAGACTGTTGCCCAGGCTAGAGTGCAATGGTCAGTCTCGGCTCACTGCAACCTCTACCTCCCGGGTTCAAATGATTCTCCTGCCTCAGTCTCCTGAGTAGCTGGGACTACAGGTGCATGCCACCACACCTGGCTAATTTTTGTATTTTTAGTAGAGACAGGATTTCAACTATGTTGGCCAGGCTGGTCTCGAACTCCTGACCTCGTGATCTATCCGCCTCGGCCTCCCGAAGTGCTGAGATTACAGGAATGAACTACCAAACCCAGCCTCTTTGTGTTGTCTTTCTTGATAGTGGCTTTGGATGAACAAAAGTTTTCTTTTTTGATAAAGTCCAATTTATGTTTTTTCTTTGGTTGCTGATGCTTTGGATATCATATCTAAAATACTATTGCCTAGTCCCAACATCACAACGATTTACACTTACGTTTTCTAAGTGTAGTTCATATTTAAGTTTTGATTAATTTTGTGTTCGTTTTTGTACCTAGTGTAAGGAAAGGGTCTCATTTCAGTGTTTTGCATCCAGTTGTCCCAATATCATTTGTTAAAAAAACTATTCTTTCTACATTGGCACACATGTCCAAAGTCAATTGACCATAAATGTAAGGATCTATTTTTGGGATGTTAATTCTGTTGATCTATGTTTATTCCAGTACCATAGTCTTGATTAACATATCTTTGTAGTAAGCTTCAAAATCAGGAGGCGTGAGCCTTGTGCTTTGTTGTTCATTTTCTTTCCTTTTTTTTTTTGAGACGGAGTTTCGCTCTTGTTACCCAGGCTGCAGTGCAATGGCGCAATCTCGGCTCACCGCAACCTCCGCTTCCTAGGTTCAGGCCATTCTCCTCCCTCAGCCTCCTGAGTAGCTGGGACTACAGGCACGCGCCACCATGCCCAGCTAATTTTTTGTATTTTTAGTAGAGATGGGGTTTCACCATGTTGACCAGGATGTTCTCGATCTCATGACCTCGTGATCCACCCTCCTCGGCCTCCCAAAGTGCTGGGATTACAGGCGTGAGCCACCGCGCCCGGCCCTGTTGTTCATTTTCAAGATTATTTTGGATATTCTGCATTTCTTTCAATTCCATGTGAATATTAGGATCAGCTTCTCAGTTTCTGTGGGGGAAAAGTGCCTGATGGAATTTTGATAGAGATTGCATTGAATGCTGTATGGAAACGTAATTGATCACCTTAGGGGATGGCAGGGAGCCAGTTTTTCAAATCTGTCTTGAAAACTAGTAAATAAGGGTACTTTTCCTGTTTCACCTGTGTGAACCATACCAACAGGTAACCAAATAGTGGGTGAAGTATCTCTTTATACATGTATTCCATTGAGTTAATGAAAAAGAAATATAGAATTAGTTTGTCACAGTTTTGCCTATCCCAGTGAATGAATTAGTTTAGGCATTGAGTATCAATATCTGCTAACTTTATAAAAAGAGAACCGGACATTATGTGCTTCTGAAGAAAATAACACACCACCACCTGTAGTCTCACCAAAAGACTAAATGTGAGGCTAATCAAGTTGTTGCATTCAGCTACCAATTTGCAGGAAATACAGAAGCAAAAGGACCCCTACATTGAAGGGTCCCATGATTTTGCAGTCATTTTACTGGAACCTCGATAGGTCAAATGCCTTGAGTTTTCTTCAGTAATTACAGGGAATGAAAAAGGATCAAGAGAGAACACACCAGATTAAAAGGTACTTAAAAAATTTATTTTAACATTATTTCTTCCTTTCCTTTTCAGAGTGAGGCATTTGTTTTGGTTTTAATTCCTTTCACATCCCTCCAAGTTACGTACATTCACAGACATGGATACACACACACATACACATGTAATGATACATATATACACTATTGCTTAAAAATGTTCCGTGTATTTAAATAAAATTTAAATAGGTTTATGTACATATGTAGTTTTATGTATAAAATACATATCCTGTATATATATATATAACTGTAGCTTTGAAACATCGTTTCCTCATTCTATGTTTTTACTTTGTGCTATTAGAAAATGTAGATTTTTTTGCCAATTTAACTTCTATATAGTATTTCCTAGGATGGATGTACCATCCAAAACGTCTATTTCCTTAGACGTTTTGTTAGTTGATTGATAGGCAGTTTGTTGTCAGATTTTTAAAATTCCAAGCTGTAGTGAATATCCTCGTGCATGTATATCTTCTAAAGTATATCCTAAGTTGTTGAGTACCTGTAGAGTTTCAAAAGATGGTACCAAATTGCCTTCCTTGTATCTACTACTGAGAGCATTTAAATTTTGCTTCCACTCAACTGAGTAAGTCAACTATGTTAGGTTTTAAGTTTGCTTATGTTAACTTCAGTCTTGCTTATAGGATAAAGTTAGAGGACTTTTTTTACTGGTTTTGAAAATAATTCAAGTTACCTGTGAAAACACTATTCTTATATCATGTTTAATAAGCTAGCTAATGTTGATGGAGGCCAGATTGGTGTTTTCCACGTAATTGTGGAAACAGAAGGATGTTGTTTAAAAAGTGATACTGGAGGTTGTGTAGTATCTTGCAACAGTCAAGCTCATAGTTACGATTCTTTTTTGTTTTTTTGGTATGTATTTACAAATGTACATTTTTCCTCTTATCTGTATAACAGATAGCTGGTATTCCTCCTTAACACTGTCTCTCATTCCTAGAAGTGGGATTACTAGATCAAGTTGTGAAACCATTCAAGGCTTTTGAAACATACTGCCAAACTGCCCTCCAGAAAAAGGCCTCTACTATGAATGTGATGATCGATGCCCAGTTTCTCTGAATGCTGACGCTGTATTTTTTTGCTCACTAAAGAAGTTGAGCATTTTTTCCTCTAAGTTTACTCACCTGTTTTTTCCTACTCTTGTTCAGGGTTACATATGCAGGTTTGTTACATGGGTAAATTCTGTGTCACTGAGGCTTGGCATAGGGATAATCCTGTCACCAAGATAGTGAGCATATTACCCAATAGGTAGCCATTCAACCCACACCCCCTTCCACCCTCCCCACTCAAACAGTCCCCAGTGTTTATTGTTCCCATCTTTGTGCCCATGTGTATTCAGTGTTTAGCTTCCATTTATAAGTGAGAACGTACAATATTTTGTTTTCTCTTCCTGTGTTCGTTCACTTAGGATAATGGCCTCCAGTTGTATCCATGTTGCCACAAAGGACATGATTTAATTTCTTTTTATGGCTGCATAGTATTCTGTGGTGTATATGTACTGAATTTTCTTTATTCATTCCACCATTGGTGGGTATCTTGTTTGATTCCATTTCTTTACTGTTGTGAATAGCACTGCAGTGAACATACATGTGTCTTTTTAGTAAAATGCTCCTCTTCTCTCTTCCCTCTCCTCCCTCTCTTCCCTTCCCCTTCCCCTTCCTTTCCTTTTCTTTCTTCTTTCTTCCTTCTTCCTTCGTCTTTCTTGGTTTTGTACTCAGTAGTGGGATTGCTGGGTACTGACCCATTTGTATGCCTTTCTTAAATATCACTTTCTCTTTGCTATTATTTTTTAAAATCACTAATAAGAGCAACTTAATAAACCTTGGTTTGCTGTTGAAATTCTTTATTTATTGTGCCTTGTTTTGTGCCTTTTCTTTATAAGTAGGTTTATTTGAGAGTGATGGGAAAGAGAATATTTTATTTTGATGTGGCTTTATTTATACTATAGACCTTCTCAGCTTGGTGTGAAGTAGCTTTTTTTTGTAATTATGGTAATTTTTTAGAAGTAGATTGCACAGAGATGTGTGTATGGGGGGAGGGAGATTATAGTTAAAGGAAAAAATGCTGTTGTCCACTGGACTAATTTTCAGTTAGAAATTAAAATGGCTTACTTTAAAAAAAATTGTGTACAAGTTAACAGAGTAAGAAAACAAGACTAAGGTGAATAACTTTAGCTTTTCATGTTGACTTTATTTAAATAATTTTATCTTAGAGATACATGGTTCAGCTAACATTGGATAAGAAATGAGCAATCGATATTCAGTCTTCTCTATCACCTAGCTTTGACTTATTTTTAATATTTAAATTAAATAATTTTATCGTTGGCATTATTTCTAAAATAAAATTCTGTTTCTCTCAGATCTGATGTATTAAACCATAAATATACTTTTTATATTGCTAAATATTGAGGAGTTGCCTAGTTATGAAAACCACGATTTGAGTTAAACTCACTTTGCTTATCAGGGCTTCTTCATATTTATTTTCTTTACAGAAATACAGGTATCAAGATGAAGATACACCTCCTCAAGAGCATATTTCCCCACAAATCACGAATGAAGTGATAGGTCCAGAATTGGTTCATGTCTCAGAGAAGAACTTATCAGAGATTGAGAATGTCCATGGATTTGTTTCTCAGTCTCATATTTCACCAATAAAGGTAGGATAGTATCTATTTATTATTGTTATGAATTATATATTACTTTTGTTATAGCTTATACTCGGAAAGAAGTATTCTTTTATGTAGGTTCCCCCTACCCACCCCCATTTTAGTTTCTTAGTTATGGAGACTTTCAGGGTACTTATTACTACTCCAAAAAACATCTTAAAATACATATTTTGTAACTGCATGTTATTCAGTGATACTATCTTTAAGTCTAAAAATTCCCGTGAAGAAAATAACTATTAAATTTTAAATACCACACACTGAAATATTTTCAAACACTTGTTTTTCAGCATTAGTTGGTAGGTATAGAAAAAGAGCGTTTTCAGCACTTTGGGTGGCTGAGGCGGGCAGATCACTTGAGGTTAGGAGTTCGAGACAAGCCTGGCCAATATGGTGAAACCTCCTCATCTCTACTAAAAATACAAAAAAATTAACCAGACATGGTGGCACATGCCTGTAGTCCCAGCTACTTGGGAGGCCGAGGCAGGAGAATTGCTTGAGCCTGGGAGACCGAGGTTGCAATGAGCCGAGATTGTGCCACTGCACTCCAACCTGGGTGACAGAGCAAGACTCCATTTCGAAGAAGAAAAAGAGCAGTAACATTATCTTTAAAGTCCAGATATGTCATTTTTCCTGATCCTGTCATCTCTCCCTTCAGAAGTAACTACAATCCTGAGTTTATTTACCCTTTCTTATTAAAATTCTACCATATATTTAGACTGCTAACCAATTGTTTTGCATATTTTGAATTTCATAATAAATGGACTCATACTGTATATCATCTTTAACTTGCAGATTTTACTCAATATTCTTCAGATTGATTAATTTCACTGCTTTAGAGTTTTCTATTTTATGAGTATACTACAATTTATTTTACTTTTGATGGATATGGATTTATTTTCAGGTTATTACTGGTATAAGAAATACTTCTAAAAATACAGTTTATATATACATCTTTGTGGATAATGCCAGACTGTTTCTCAGTAGCTGTGGCATTTCCATTTTCAGCAGCAATATATAACAGTTTTTAGTTGGTCTATATTCTTATTAATTGGTATTCTTATTTTTGGCATTGTTTTGGTTTTGAAATGGTATCTGATTGTGATTTTAATGTGAAGTTTACTAGGAAAGTAGGATATATTTATTGGTCCTTTAGATTTTCTTATCTGTTACATGCCCAATTAAGATTTTTGCTTGTTTTTTTATTGGGTCGTTCCTTTTATTGATTCGTATTTCTTTATATATTCTGAATACTAATCCTTTGCTGGTTGTATGTATTTTGATTAAGGATCATTTCTTACTAGTAAATTTACCTGGATTTTGTAATTCTCTTTGAGGGGTGATATCATATTACTGGTTAAAATTGTTAACGGTTATAGTAGGATTCAGATTTTCTATCAGTTAATTTTGCTAGGTCATTTTTTTCTAATAATTTTTTAAATTTTAGATATATTTTTAAATTATTAGTTATGATATCCTGTTAATGACTATACCATATGTAGGCATGGCCCCTATTTTATTCATAATATCGTTTATTTCAGACTCTGTTTTTATTCACCGTTCTTGCCAAAAGTGTCAATTTAAAGATGATCTTTTCAAAGAACCATCTTAAAAAAAAAAGTTATCTTGTGTCCCTGCCCTGTGTGCCACCACCCTTACCCCCCTCTGTTCTTATACACACACACATACATGTAGACATGTTTATGTAATACATGCATATGGATATATGTAAATATAAATATACATGGAGGATAGCTGAATATCAATTAAAGATTGTGTTCAGTATAAGTAATCTGATCCTCCCTTGGGGAACTAAAAGAGCATTACGGAGAGTAAACAGCCAAAAAAAATCAGTTGGCTGTTTACCAGTTAGTGGCAGAAACAGTTCTTTTTCTTTTCTTCCTTTATCTTTTTATCATTATTATTTTTTTCTTTTTTGCTTTCTTTGAGTTTATTCTGTTTTCCTCTTTTTCTAGTTTCTCAAGTCAGTTGCTTATTGCAATAATTACCAGTCTTCTTTTTTAATAATATTTGTTTATAAATATTTCTTGAAACAGCATTTTTAATTGTATTCCACAAGTTTGAATATATAATATCTTAATGTATTTTTTTATATGTCCAATGTGATTTTTTTTTTTTAGCCCCGTGAGTTACTTAGAAGTGTGTTTAATTCTTTAACATTAGAGACTATTTCTTATTGTCTTTTTTGTTCTTATTTTTCTGAGGCAGGGTCTTGCTCTGTTGCCCAGGCTGGTCTTGAACTCCTGGCCTCAAGTGGTCCTCTATCCTTGACCTCCCAAAGTGCTGAGATTGCAGGTGTGAGCCAGTGTACCTAGTTCATATCTTCTTTTGGATTGTATTTTCTCATTTTCCCTTATTACTAGCTTGGAAGTTAAAAATTGTTTCTCCTCCTTTAGTGGTTATTGTAGAAATTTTAATGCATGTTTAACTTATAAAAGTCTAAAGTCAATAAATGCCTTTTACTCTTATTCCAAACGACACAAGAACCTTAGAACACTTAAAGCTCAAGCACTCCTTCTTGTCACATGTGATATTCTTATCAGCCCATACCTGTTTTTTTTCTTGATTGAATCAATGTATTTTTTTTTTTTTGGTTCAAAACCACTTCCAGGATATGTATAATTTTTTTATTTCTGATGTTTTGAATTTCTGGTCATCCTTATGGTTACGAATCAACCAAAGCTAATTTGCACATGGCCAGCTCTGGTCCTTTGGTACATATGTTAGTAGTTTCTTTGGTATGTTTGCAGATTATGACATAAGCAGGCATTTAAACAGACAATGAGCCAGCATGCATATTTTATGTAGCCTATTCTTTAAATCTGATGAAACCCCAGCTTTCTGTTGTTGCCTAAAATGCTCACTCTAGGTAGGTAAAACAATGTTCCAGATACAAGATTTTGTTTACCCAGAAGAATCTTCAGACGTCTTAGGAATTAAACCTAAGGTGTTATCTCTAAGACTTTAGGCCTCTCCAGAGTCTTCCCTTTCCCTATGCATGGGTGAATTGTGTCTCTAAATTAATTTAGCCAATTCACATAACTGGGATACTATGGATTACACCAGTGTCGTCCGATTTTGCTGTTCAATAAGCCACTATTTCATCATTGAAAACCCACTTTATTATGATAATTGGTAAGACTTTTGGTGTAAATCAAAGATTAATAGGACAAAACCCTTTTAGCAGCCATCTCCATATATGATTCTTATAATTAAATGCTTAGGTGGTGAGTCTTGAGATGTGAATTGGAATGCAGACTGGCCTTTGGGAGGTTTACAAATTCTCCAGGTGTTTCTAATCTGCGAGCACAATTGCAAAGCATTATGCCACCACTATTACTGCTACTGTAGTTGGAGTTTGAACTGTACTGCTCTGCTTATATGCGGGTCAAACAAATGCGGATCAAACATAAGAAAGTATTTGTAGGATGCAAAACCCATGTATACAGAGGGCTGACTTCATAAGTGTGTAACTGACTTCAGGACTTCAGTATGCGAGGATTTGGCTATTCTCGGGCAGTCCTGGAACCAGTTCCTCATGAATGCAAAGCTTGAGGTATTTTCCTGCAGTACTGTGCTATCTGTGTTGAGCTGTTAATGTTTACAAGTAAATTTCTGACATTTGTTGAATCCTCACTCTAGAATGAAATTTAAATTTATAGTATTCAGAGAGAAAGCATTAATAGTTTAAGATTTCAATGCTTTCTTAATCTGATTCATTTTTCCTTAATTTCCTGACCATAAGAGATGAAAAGTCAGTTTTTTGGTGTCTGCTTTAGATTACTCTTTTTCTTTATATACACTTGCTTTTTGTTTATTATTACATGATAAAGGATTATGTCCCTCACAGCTTCTTAAAGAAATATTTTATAGAGGCTTATTTAAAGGACTATGTTATTAAAATTAAAATGTCCTTTGTCAGTTATAAGATGTACCTTTTCCACATTTATTGTTTCTGAAATTGGCGTAATCTTACAGTTGCTGGCATTTTATCATTGCCTTAGCCGAGTGACAATTGTATATAACCTTTGTTGACACATTTTGCTAAGATTAAAGAAGTACCAGCAGGCTTTCATGGGTCTTAGGGTACTACGGTAATAATTCATCTGGTCCCATGAGAAGCAGCTGAAAACCTGACCATCTTTGTAGGCCATTCTCTTGCTCTGTCTTGTTCATTTTGTTTTCTTTTGTTAGGTATTAACGGAATCAGTCTCTGAAACAATTATAAATAATCCTCTGGGGCTCTTAAGAGAAACCACTAGTCCCCTTTCCCTCACTTTGGTTTGCTGGTTGTCTGATTCATATTTGCAAACTGAATAGATAAGGATTTTCTGTTCCTAGGAGAAAAAAATGTGTAAATTCTCTATTATGTTTCTAAATCACACTTTAACGTGTTAATATATTTTTTTCCTATTGTAAACTTATTAAGCACATTCTTGTGTCTGTGTCCTGTGTAATATCTTGATGTATCAAGTTTTTATAAATGTAAACTTTAAAAACATAAAACTCGATGCATCACTTTACCTGTTACCTTTGTACCATAATTTGACCGTGTCAATGCTCTGATATCTGTTATCTCCGTTTTTGTTAGGTTTTGTAAAGAAAGCTGCGATTAGTAATCTTTGGAGAGGAAACATATTTAGTTTACTTCATTTGGATGGATTACCAGAAGTCAAATTACTGGGTCAAAAGAATATGAACATTTCTTAAGTTCTCAAAACTTTCCGACAGATTGTGATCTGATAGAATCGTAATTTAAGAATTATTAAGTCTGCTTAGTTTGGGGAATTTCTTCCTGCTTCCCCTCTTTCATTCATAGTTTACTGTGGCAGGTACCACATAAAATAATTATTTGAGGGGGATAATAGATTTGGAGTAGGTAGGCATTATAGCAGAATAGGTAGAGTTCCTTTAACTTTTTGTTAAAAAAACGAAATTGAAGCAGGGGACAACTCTTATTTTGACATAAAAAG